ATAAAATAGGGTGGTTAATTGCACTGTGAAAGTCGAAGAAAAGGTATTAAATTAATTAAGAGGTTTATTCCACTGTGAAGGCTGAAGGAAAACATAAAACAAAATAAAATGAATTACAATAAAATAAACTTGAATTAAAAAAAAAAAGATAAAATAAAATAATGGTTTATTCTGCTGTGAAAGCTGAAGAAAAAATATTAAATTAAATTAAGTGGTTCATTGCGATATGAAAGTCGAAGGAAAATAAAATAAAATAAAACATTAAATGAACTTTCATTTAATTAAATAAATTAGGTGGTTCATTACACTGTGAAAGCAAAAGGGAAATTAAATTAAATTAAATCATTAAATTAGGTGGTTAATTTTTCTATGAAAGGAAAATCCAAAAATAAAATAAAATAAAATAAATAAATAATAAAATTTAGTAGTTCATTACATTGTGAAAGCTGAAGAAAAATGATAAAATAAAATAAAATAAAATAATCTGCCACAGCAGAATGAATTACCTAAATTAAATTAAATTAAATTAAATTAAATTAAATTAAATTAAATTAAATTAAATTAAATTAAATTAAATTAAATTGTTAATTTTGCTATAAAAGCTGAAGAAAGATTACATTTCAGTTTATAAAACATTGAAGATATTTTTGAATAAAACGTTTTTAATTTGTGCAGACTGAACAAAATTAACAAAGAAAAATAAAATAATAAAATGGGTTAAATTTCAGTTTGTAAAAAGAGCTATTTCAAAATAGTACACACTTTTATCGATCAAATAAATGCAGATAAATGGTGAAATAAAGCAAAATGTTTCTTTTAATTTTTTCCAGCTCAAGTAACTTATTTTAAAGTCTCCATATGCTCCATCACCAACACAAATGGCTGTTTTAGTGAACACCTGTATCACAGAAGCACTGATCTCACCCTCTTTTTGTCCCTTACAAATTCCCTCTGAGATCCTTCAACAGGACCAGGATTTGTTCACCTTTACCAGCCCTTAAAAGAGCCCTAAATTGACATCGTCCCACTTCACTTCAAACAAGCCCGAGTCAATCTCTCTCCTCGCTCAATCGGTTTCTTTTCAACTCTTTTCACATAAAGCCATCTTTCAGAGAGCACCCCGCTATTCAGCCGCACCATGTTTACATCAAAATCTCCCACAAGGCATGTTATTGCAATTCAAATAAGCGCCATTGAGAACCAACCAACCTTATAGTTTCTTTATGATGCTAAAAGCGAAGAGTGCTGCTTTCTATGGCTCTATATGTTGAATTAGCCTCGGGCAGGATCCGCCGTGGTATTTATGAGAGCAAATGGCAGAGACGCCTGGAGAGTGTTTACACATCAGTGTCCCACGATTCACTGATTGGTTTTTCATTCATTCCTCCATTCATTGACATCTGCTGAGCTGATTTGTGAGAGAAACTTCTAACTTGTTGTTTATAAATGCTAATGATGGAAGACAGACAAGATCAGGTTTAGCCACTCGGGTCAAAAATGAACTGATCTTGTCTTGCTTTTGGATCCATCTCAAATATATTTCATTTACTTTTAATAAAACATGCATCATGAGAACTATTTTTAAAATGTTATTCTAAATTAGTAGCCCCCCTGTTTATTTTTTCCCAATTTCTGTTTAACAGAGAGAAGACTTTTTTTTTTTACACATTTCTAAACATAATAGTTTTAATAACTCATTTTTAATAACTGATTTATTTGACTTTTGCCATGATGACAGTAAATAATACTTGACTAAATATTTTCCATGACACTTCTATACAGCTTAAGGTGACATTTAAAGGACTAACTGGGTTAATTTGGTTAACTAGGCAGGTTAGTTTAATTAGGGAAGTCATTGTATAATGATGGTTTGTTCTGTGGACTATCAAAAAAACATTTGCCGAAATAATTTTGTCCTTAAAATGGTGTTTGAAAAAAATGAAAACTGTTTTTATTCTAGGCAAAATAAAACAAACAAAACTTTCCCCGGAAGAAAGAAATATTATCAGACATACTTTAAAAATTTCGTTGCTCTGTTACACATGATTTGGGAAATATTTAAAAACCAGATAAAAAAAAGTCAAAGGGGGGCTAATAATTCTGACCTCAACTGTATATTCTATGATGTGTTTTATTTCAGAGATGCAAAGCTGAGTTTTAAAAGTATTACAACTACATTATTACTACAATCAGTATCACATGATCCTTAAGAACTTTTTGCAGCAATCTCTAACAAACAGAGAGTTAAAAAAACAGCATTTGTTTGGATAAAAAAAAAAAAAAGTCAAAAACACATTTAAGTAAAGAAATACATACATGCATTGACATGAACAAATATACTGTAACATTAAAAATCTTTACTGTCGCTTTTGATTACTTCAGTGCATGTTTGACGAATAAAAAGCATGAAGGAAAAATGATCATGTTAAAATAAATTATGCATTTGGTAAAGGAAATCTTGACTAATATGAAGTGGAATATACCCTATGGCCCATTTAAAATGTAAATATAGACATAATAACTGATATAAAACAGGTTCATCTCTCTGACCCACAGCAAAAACAATATTTTTTTGTTTTTCCTATGTAAACTGTGCCAAAGCAGGTTAACACAAATAAATAAAATAAAAATTAAAATACAATATTTTAGATCACCTTGATTTTTAGAACACCTTAAAAATCTTAATCTAACCATACATTATCCCTAAAATAAGATCAGATGGAAATTATAGGTTAATAAGAATAGTAATCCCTTGTTGTAAACATTGAATTTGGTCAAATCATGTTAACCAAAGTTACATTTTACCACACATGAGTAAAAAAATGTACTGCAAAGTGAGACGAGAGATAAACCGGAGAGGACTTGAAGAGTACAAAGATAAACATGGAACTGAAGCATCACTGAGGTCTATCTGACACATGTCAGGGTTGTGGAGAGGACAGAAGAAAAAAAATAAACACAAACAGAAATAAAAGCACTTACCTGGACGTCCTTCCCGGCCCACTTGCATTCATCTCGTCGAGAAGGTGAAGAAGGCCAGGAAATCTGCAGGTCAGAGAGAGTTTGAATACTGGGAAATGTTTTGTTGGAAGCTTCCAGTTTTAAACTCTTGCTTTATATAAGGTATTAACTCTTATAGATCGAGTGTGGTGCATTACTTTTGCACTAAATATGGGTTAAATTACATCCAGCAAAAATTGAAAACATAGAATCACAGATCTTTTCAATGTAAATAGCCACCATTTTGAATCTTCAAAAACAAATCTTAATTTATTGATATTTTATCTAACCACTTATCTCGTAACCATAAATCATAACTTTTTTTACGAAAAAGGAGGACATATTTATCTGGCGACATGTTATCTAGTCACTTTCTCTCTGTGGCTGGACAAATTTGAGTGTGTGTAATGGAGCTTTAGTCTGATGCCTGTGAATGCGTGAAACTGTATCCTTTTCAGATAAACTCTGAGTCAAAGTGTTTCTAAGAGACAGAAAGAGCAAGAGTGTACTGAAGTTTCTTTAATGGAAAGTTTGTGTTAGTCTAGATAGTTGATAACAGTTAAATAAATGTATTGCTTCAATGTGAGAATTATTGACATGACTACGGAATCATCACACAGAATGATTTATTTAATGCACCAAACTGAAGACTGAAGTAAATTTAGAGTAAACATGTTATTGAGTTTGGTTTTTTTACATGCTTTCAGATGTTAGAGCATTTACATGGATGGATGGATGGATGGATGGATGGATGGATGGATGGATGGATGGATAGATTTATAAATATGGATGGATTTAGATAGATAGATAGATAGATAGATAGATAGATAGATAGATAGATAGATAGATAGATAGATAGATAGATAGATAGATAGATAGATAGATAGATAGACAGACAGACAGACAGACAGACAGACGGACGGACGGACGGACGGACGGACGGACGGAATGTTATTGTTATTGTTATTGAGTTTGGTTTTTTTACATGCTTTCAGATGTTAGAGCATTTACATGGATGGATGGATGGATAGCCAAATGGATGGATAGATCGATGGATGGATGGATGGATGGATGGATGGATGGATGGATGGATGGATGGATGGATGGATGGATGGATGGATGGATGGATGGATGGATGGATGGATGGATGGATGGATGGAAAGCCAAATGGATGGATAGATGGATGGATGGATGGATGGATGGATAGCCAAATGGATGGATAGATTGATGGATGGATGGATAGATAGATAGATAGATAGATAGATAGATAGATAGATAGATAGATAGATAGATAGATAGATAGATAGATAGATAGATAGATAGATAGATAGATAGATAGATAGATAGATAGATAGATAGATAGATAGATAGATAGATAGATAGATAGATAGATAGATAGATAGATTCATTTACTTGCATTGAATTTGTTTTATGTAAATTATTTTTCCACTTAATTGTCTCAATCTGATGCAGGACACCAGAATGTAATGTCTGATTTTTGTCCCATTCACTGTCTACCATTCTTTTGTATATCTGTTCATACTCATGTGTTAAAATTTATTTCCTTTTTAAGGTTAAACATACGGCTCGAAGTGGGCTATGGTTTTGCCTAGTACTTTTTTCATCTGTGCTTCGCCATGTTTATTCTGTTCATTATTTATCCAGGTGAACGGATAGCAGCTCTCCGTCAGATTCTGTGTGATCAGTATGACAGCTTTACCCTGAAATATTCATACTCTTCCTGTTGGAAACAGATCCCCCGTGTGCTGATGTGTCCACGTTTATGTGTATAAGACAGAGAGAGAAGAGAGTGTGTGTATGTTTAAATAGAAAAGCCAGCTATTTATATAGAACATGTACATATGTGAAGAATTTCAGGTTTAATTTGTCCGGTATTCACTTTATGCTACACGTTGCTTTTTTGGCTATACTTGAGTTTGTCTGTAATATATTTTGCTTTTGTTAATAAACTGGCTGTTAAATGACATGTCTATACTATAGATTAATCTGTGGTCTGAGAAATATATATATATATTTATTTATTTATTTTTTACTTTGTTACCAATATTAGTACTTATGGATGGTATGATGTTTCCCTTTTCTTCTATTTTCCTTCCATCTATCCATTGATTTATTTACAAAATAATATAATAATTAAAATAATTTAATAATATAATTATTTTAATAATATAATTATTAAAAAAATAATATAATCTCTTTATTGTTATTTTGCTCTGAAAAAATAATCTTGTTTTGATTTATTTGGTAAATAATAAACTAACTAACTAAGTGGCGAATAACAAGTCAACTGGCAGGTTTTCTGTCTGAGTTCAAGATCAATTTAAGGCAGATTGAGTTACCTATACTCTGTGTTGTCTAGTAACCAATTAGCTGTATTTACTCAAAGTTGATTAACTAATTTGCTTCTTAAATTCGAGGCAATGAGTTTTAATGCTTTTGTTTAGTAAAATTAACTAGCAGGCTAGTTGAGAATACTGCTTTGCTGTAAGGTGCACTAAGCATAACTACAATTTGTAAGTTAACTGAACTCATCATATTGAGTAATCATTACTCGTGTTGTTAAGTAACCAATTCAAGTAAACAAGTTCCCTACACAAAGTAATAGTTAGTAAAACTTACTCAAAGTTGATGAACTAATTTGCTTCATAAATTTGAGGCAATCAGTTTCCACATGTTTAAGTAAACTCAATGTATTACTTTTTACAGTGTAATTTGCGGTTCATTGCGCTGTGGTGACCCCTAATAAAGCACAGTCCTAGCTAAAGGAAAGTGTGTGACTGAGTTTTTAGTCATCATTTGTTTGTGGTGTGTTTGAATTTCAATTTTGAGTTTCAATTTTAATCCATGTTCTGCCTGAGTGTTTGTTGCATTTACAGTTCTGACATGCACATGCAGAGTTTTGGAAGCTTCCAAGCATTGAACAATTTTGTGAAGCAATAGGGTATATGCACAGCAAGTGTTAGTTATGTAATGTGCTAGTTTTTAGTGTTGTAATGTTATTCAATTGTAATGTAATCAAAATTAGTAAAACAAGCAATAGTATATAAAGCAAGATTTATCCTGGACAATAAATCAATGTATATATATATAGTATATAACACATTATGTTGCCATATGAGTTATAGTGTTGAAATTTGGGGGAATACATATAAATGTCATTTACGATCCTTAAGTACAATGCAGAAAAAAGTACTTAGACTTACAGAACATGTGGGGTATTTGGAGCATTCAAATCCTTTATTTTCTAATTAAAAATACTCAAGTTCAATGATTTGGTTAAATTTAAACAGCACAATTTATGTTTAAAGCTAGGAATAAATTATTTCCAAAATGCTTACAAAAGATTTTTGAAGAAAGACAAGGGGGATATGACCTGAGAGAAGAACTAAATTTGAGGAGGCTGAAAACAAGGACAACTTTAAAACGTTTGCGTATGTCTATCTGTGTGTAAAACTATGGATCAGTCTAGATCAGACTCTCAAACTATGTCAGGATAATAATCAATTTAAAAAGTTGTATAAATATATATTATTAAAGGAATATAATGATGAAGGTGATTGAAAAAGGATAAGATGAGAAAGGTATGATGAAAGTTTAATTAATTGCTATTTGCAGTACTTTTTTTTCTTATCTCTTTGGGCCTGTGGTACAAAATGTAAAGGTAGAAATGGAGTCAAACACATAATATGTCAAAGATGCCAAAAGGATCAAATACGTTTCATGAAAAAGAAAAGATAAGTGGAAGAACAAATAAGTTTAAGTAATAGACCAATGATGTATGTGGTAATGAGGTGGGAAAATAATAAGCTTGTGCTTTATACCACTCCATTTTCGATCATGTTGAAATGTATTTTTTGTTAATGATATTTATGTATGATATTTTTGTTTGAAAATAAATAAACCAAATCAAATCAAAACATAATCAATTAAATAGACTTAAGCATTCATTTTGCTGTTCAAGTGTAAAACAAAATGAAAAGATGTTTACATGCACATGCTGTCAGGATCAGCAGGCGAAAGTAGAAACTCAAAAAAAAATTTAAATTTAGTGCAGTGCTTCTACATTCTGAGACCTACTTTATATCGTTTATCAATCAGGCAGTGAAGATCACTGATTTTTAAAGAAAACAGATCTTAAACAGGGCAATTTTATGGTGGCATACAATTCACTAGAAACACTTCAACTGGGTTACTAAAAAATTAAAAGTCCTTCTACATGAACTCTACTTGATTAAACTGTTTTGAAGTTTAAAATCCTCAGTTTCTCCAATCACTACTCAGATAATCCATACTGAATAAATCCTGATGTTTTTCCTACCAGTTGCTGGTCCATGTTGATATCCACCAAGTTAAAGGAAAGCACATGATCTTTTGCCCCCACAAAAAGCCGTCCTCTCTCCTCATCCAATAAAAAAGTGTGATAGGCAGAGCTGTTAGCCAATCCATTGAAAGTAAGCAGGTTGTTGGACTCCAGCATTTCTGTGGGGAACAAAGTGAACACAGTAGATGGGATGTTTTAGAAAATAACAGTCTCCTTCAAACCTTAAATGCAAGCGCTGACAGAAAAATGAACATGCATTGATCGTGTTTTCCAACATGCTGAATAATATGTAAAAGCTTGATGTTTTCAGACCTCATCTTTGTTTTTAGAGTTAGAGGGCTGAGAGGGAGACAGATAAATGGACTTTGGCTCTGACAGTGCACAGCTCAGCAGGGACGGGAGCTCTGTGCTTGTCTGTGTGAGACATGCGACTGCGCTTTTGGCCGAAATACAATTGGGAAAGCAGGCGGTGCTCATGGAAACACACAGATATCTGCTTGTAGATTTTACTTTTGTTCTTTATGCATGTAATTTTTTAACAGAGCAAAGAGCCGAAAGCAAGCCAAGACCAACATTTATATCACAAATTTTATGTAGCTTTAAAATATTGATGGGTTTTTCATTATAAAAAATCAGTTCTGACTTCATTTACTCACTCTTTACTCTTAGATCGTCACTTTACAGTTGCTGTCAAAACATATAAAAGCTATTTATTTGATGATTTTTACATTTTGATAAAATATTGTTTCATTCATCCATTCATCCTTAAGCTTCTCTATTTCAGAGGTTACCACAATGAACTGGCAACTATTCCAGCATATCTTTTATGCAGCGGATGCCCTTCCAGCCACAACCAAGTCATATGAAACATCCATACACAGTCATTCACACACACACACAAAGATACACTACAGCCAAATTTGTTGATTTAATTCTCCTATAGCATATCTTTGGACTGTGAGGGAAACTGGAGCACCAAACACTAACTGTCCAAAATGGCCAAATACTGATGGTCAAAACATGTTCACAAATATGTGTGTATGTGTTATTAATGCATTAAAAACAGTTAGGAAAAAACTGCTGAAGGCAGAAATAAAGAGTTTTGCATTCTATTATACAAAGGTAACTTTATTGTGTTTTATGGAAATTCAGACCACGCGTTCACATACATGGACATAATTTTACTCTAAAAGTACATCATATCAAAAGATTATAGTTAGGATTTATTTTAATTGGGTTCCAATAAGCCCAAATAGCAAAGAGAAATAAAAAATGCATGTAAAAAACAGCTTGGGCCTTAAGAGGCTTTATATTCTTCAGGTTGTTCTGTTAGTTGGTGTAAAGCCACACTAAAGGAAAGTGAAAATGTGTAACAAAACCAGAAGGCTGTAATTACAACATCTGCCCTGAAGGAAAGTATGAATTTCTCTGCCATCACACATTAATTACTCACAAGAGGGACATTAATAACAGCTGAGAAATATGGTGTGAGCGTGTGTGTGTGTGTATGTGTGCGCATGTACAGTATACACTGACTAGTATACCCATACATCAAAGTTTTAGGATCCAAAAATGTTTTAAAGCATAAAGGTTTGCATCCAGACCCAGATCTTTTAGCAGTATTTAAATCAAACCTTTAAATTAATCAAGAGGATGAAATAACATTTTAGGTTATGATACAAGAGTTAAAAATCCAGTATTATTACGTCTGATCTAACCAATTAATCAATCCTAAATCCGATTCTGGGCAGTGGTTTTCAACTAGTAGGTTAGAAAAGAAACAGGTTGCAAGTCTGTCCATTACAATATGAGTGAACGTTAATGTCATTTATCATAACTTTACATTACATTTCTTTTGTGAAGAAAAAAGTTAATATTAGATGTAAATTATCCAACGCAAGCTCATTGCAATTCAACATTTTTGTCAAATTGAAAAATGCAGTTTCTAGTTAAAATGAACGCTACAGGGCAGAGCTTTTGTTCCTTTTTAAATGATATTGATATTTAAAGGGATATATTATTGACAAATCAATGATTGTTTTCATGTAGTTCTCTGCACAACACCAAATAAATACCACAAAACAACTTAATGTCTTAACCTAACTTAACAAATCTATAATCCAAAACGTTGCACTTGTCGGCGTTCCAGTAGTTCCACAAAAGAGATAAAAGCAATGTAAAGTCAAAGTAAAACTTCATGGTTGAAGTCAACCTTTCTCTTGTGTTTGCTTTTAAAAACACATTAAAAGGGTTTAGGTCAGTGGTTTTCTAGGTGACCTGTATATGAGCAATATCACATGAGTAGCAGTGTGATGTGGCTGTGTATCGGCACTGTTAGTAGGTGTGTGGTGACAAGAGGCTCCAGGCCGAGTGCCTTAGTGTCCCACAAGTGACGATATACAGCAATAACACACTGCTACAAGTGTGATATTGCGTTTATACAACAGTTTGAGGGCATTGTGTATGTAAAAAGGAAATTAAACACAGAGTGTCTAAAAACTTGTTTGTAAGAGGAACTATTTTCTTCCGCCATTTATTCACATCTGCAGCTAATTCACCAATGTTACTTGAGAGCTAGTATTTGAAAGATTCTTTAGCATAATGTCTAAAGTGATGACAAAACAGGTGATTTTGCTCACATTTTAAGATTATAAGGCTGAACGGCATGAAATGATTTCCCAGTATTTCTCTGTTACAATTGGGAGATCACAATATTACTATAGTATAAATACAGCACTACAACATGCAAAAGAGAGAGATCAACTTAGAAAGTAATGTACCTGTTTAATAATGATTTGATCAGCTGTAGTTTAAAATTATGCTGTTTTTTCCTCCTCTTAGGGCTTTTTATGCAGTCTCTGTCGCCATCTTATGGATGAACATCGTCAACCGACTTTGCTCAAAGACAAGCAAATGACTACTGACACGATGTATCTCAGAAATTATACGTATTTTAAAACAGGCACTATCCTTATAAATAAACTGCATAGTTGGAATCTAAACAACTACATTCTCCACTAAAAAGCCTCAAAACTTCATTTTATCGCTGTATGTGGGCGGAGTAATACACAAGGGTGAAGGGTTAAGAGGCTGGACGAGTGCTGGTATTTAAAGAATATTGCATGGCTGTCAGCCAATCAGATTCAACAACCAGACAGAACTGATATATAAGAGTAAATAAAACATACAACAAAACGTGCCCTAACAAAAGACATGCTCACACTGTGCAATTTCAGGCATGATTTTGTCGTTGGAGACAAATTTGGGAAATCCTAAAAGATTCCTGTAATCCTAGGATTGTTGGTTCAACATATTACCAACAGTCGATTAATAACCATTGCAATAAAAAACATCCCTCCAATGAAGTTCTGGCAGTTTCAGAAGATTTCAGACATTTCCTGCAATGTGACTTCTGTTGCAATGAGTGTCAACCAAAAACCAGCGCAGAATCAGATGACGTGATCAGTGCGACAACTTCAAACCATCATTGAGAACATTTTTTTACCTTTACAGATTGCTTGTGCGCTGTGAGGTAATATTTTAGAACACAGGATAGTGAAAGTGTTATGAATAGATGACTCTGGGTGAGTTTTCTTGTGTTTCAGCGTTTGGCACATCTTAATTGTCGTTAAATCTGACATTTTGAAAGCTGAGATCTTACAATGTGACATGGGAGTCATGTTTGTTCAGTCTGACAAGCTGAAATCATTTAGGATTATTAAAAATCACACATTGTGAGCCGGGCATAACATATTTAAAAATATAGACAGCGCCCTCCAGTGGATTTGCCATCTAAAACGTACAACGAATCATACCCGGAACATTGCAAATGTAGGGTTAGCATGTATTTCTAATGAGCTTGGGCTGAAATTAACAGCAAAGTTAAATTGTATTTTATTTTACATATATTTTTTTAAAGGCAGTTGGTATTCCTTTAAACTTAAGCCCTAAATACAATCGAGAAAGAATTAAGACGTAGATCACTGTGCGTTTTCAATCATAAAAATTTCCATAACCCCACACACAGAGACACACATAATGTTTTTCCGGCTATTTTGAACAGAATTCAGTCTGGCAGAGAAGTTTTTTAAAGGGCCTGAGGGGAAAAAGAGGAGGAACAGAAGAGAGGATCGAGTGAAAGAAGAGAGTGTGAGAAAGGAAAGACAAAACCCGTGGAGTGGCAGAGAGGAGAAGAGCAGGACAGGATGAAGAAAGGTTAGGGCCGAGGTTGAGATGACTTAGAAGAGGTCAGCGAAAGAAGAGGAGAATAAGAGTGAGAGAATGAATCTGTCACTGGGGTTTGGAGTGGCTGTGGTGTTTCCATTTGGCACCATGACTAAAAAACTCCCTGAATGCCTTTTACACACTCAGACACACTCGAAACACCAAGAATTCATCTCACCATCACTTTAGTGCACACACACACTCATACAGACAGAGAAGCCTTTTCTAAGACAAAGCTGTGTCTCTTTGAATACAAATTGTTCTGAAATGTAATACTTCCATTAGCCAAAATCTGACACTTCTTTCACAATCTCTGCGCTCACTTTGGAGACAAATCTCTGTTAAAGTGCTCCTGCTAGGCTTTTTATAGATATGGCCCTTCGTGTTGCGTATAATATAGCTGTTTGTGACTATAAATGGTCTGCAAATTTCAGCTGTGGATTTATATCTCCCAAAAGTACAGATTCTCAATAGCCTGAAATGGCTCCTATTCAATTCCAGTTATACATTCTGCACAATTCTTTGTAGGTTTATAGCAAATTTACTTAATTCCTGTCAATCTTGTTTATAGATTGCCTGTGAAACAATGCTACTTTAGCCCTCAAACATGCTAAACCAATTGCTTTTTGCATGCACTTAATAAGAATGGAGATTCAAGCTCGTAATAATGCAATAAAACCAATGACATTGTTAATGATAGGCCCAATCCCAATTCTGTTTTTATACCCCTACCCCTTCCCCTTTGGCCCTTACAACCGAGGGCTAAGGGGAAGGGCTTCAATATATATATATATATAATATATATAATATAATTTTGCATGTTTGTCACACTTTAAAGTTTCACATTGTCAATCGAATAGTGTAAGATAACACGAGTAAACACAAACTGTAGCTTTTAAATGATTATTATTATTAAAGAAAAAAAAATCATACT